ATTACTGTAAATATTACATACAAATTGGACACTGGTGACAGTTATTACAAAAGGAAGTATTGGTTCTGTGGTTTGCAGGACAAAATTGTTGTATGTATATACACAGACATAACTATCCTTGATTAATAAAAAATAAAATAGACATGATTCCTGCAAAATCAAGGTTAGAAAATGTATTTTAATTGGGTCACTGTGGGAGTCTTCTCCACCTTGATTGAGTCATATTGAACATGCATGGTTGGAAAACAAAGTGATGGAAAAATACTGAGGACTGTCACTCATTAGTCTGTGAGAATGCGAAGGAGTTCTTAGAGAGATGCGCTACTGACGCAGGAAGGTACACTCCTGTGATGGATAATTACTGATACAGTCCGATGCAAGGTGAAAGAGAAACATCAAGCAATCGTCCCGTGACCAGACGAAGACAAGTTGTCTAAAACAGAGAGAACTTGTTCAACCAAGGGTAGCATGATAAGAACAATATAAATACTGACAGTCCTTTTAATCGGGCAGCTCCTCTCCTACAACCCTGTGTTGTACGAGATTCTGTGCACTGCTGAGAAAGAGTCCTTGTTTTCAGAGTGGTGATTCTTTTTCACCCACTCAAAGCGAGCAGGTTTTGCAAATTACAACAACATATGCACTGTTAGCTTTGCTTCCATCTGCTTTTTGGGGCATTTCTTTGGTAGAAATGGTTTCCTTGGAAAAGAGATTAGATGGTGTTTGGCTTAGTCAAAGTAACAGACTCTCAAAGCCATGGTACATTCCAACTAAAACTATCTAAACCAACTATCTAACTAACTACATGACCTGAAACTGCACTTGGAGTTGATTAATTCTAATTCAAATGCCAACTAATGCAAACCTATTCCTGCAGAGTAACTTGGACTCGTTGCCACCGGTGCTGACAGATTGCTTGAGGGCAGATGTGAGACTTCCAGCATCTCAGAGTCAAAGATGCGACGAATACAGCTCCACTGGAAACCTGATCCAAGCCTTCCTGTATCCACCCAGTATGTACCACTATCTGCTGCTCCTGCTGATCACGCCGGATTTTACTTACATACTTACAGTGCCCTCCATAATTATTGGCACCCCTGGTTAAGATGTGTTCTTTAGCATCTAGTAAATTCAGTTTTTTTTCTAAATAATATAAGACCACAATGAAAAAAAAGAGGAAAATTCAGCCTTTAATTCAAGTGTATTTATTCAGTGTGAAAAAAAAAAAATCCCACATTAAAAAAAAATTCTTTTACATCAAATCATGTGTGCCACAATCATTAGCACCCTTGATGTTAATACTTGTACAGCCCCCCTTTTGCCAACAATTCATTTGAGTTGAGTTGAAGGTTACATTTTTCTACAATTTTCAGTGTGAAAGTATGCTTCTGCAATAAAAACTGAATTTATTTTAAGGCTTTTAACACATCTTAAGCCAGTAATTACGGAGGGTGCTGTATATATACACACGTACACTTTCTTACACCTCATGCACTTTTTTTTCCACACACACCGCACTTCTTTTTTGTGTACTTTTGTTCTGTGTTACGTTTATGTGTCTATTTGTGTCTGTAATTTACATGTATATTTGTTCCTGCTGGCGCCTCTTGGCCTTCTCATGTTTACAAATGAGAACTAGTTGTCAAACATTTTTACCTGGTAAAATACAGGCGAATAAAATAAAATAAAATCTGCCTGTGTAAACTTGACACACAGCTTGACAAGAAGCAGATTCATTGGACACATGAGCAAAAACACAAACCAAATGTTTTGTCTGTGCATCTTTAGATTTCCAGGCTGTGACCACCTCCGTAGCAGTTCCACAGAATTCTAGCCTTTTCTTATTAACAAATGATATCACAGTTTCGTAATGAGGTATGTAGAGCCTCATTTAGGGTGTTTCGAGCAGTGGTATTCAGTCGTTGAAAATTACATTTTTCTTTGTGGTTTTTGATGTGATTCTCTTGAATATGCCCTGCTCTCATTTTACCCCATTATTGTCCTGAATAGGAATTTTTTTCACACAGCCACAAACCTGAAATTGTGTAGAACCAAAACAGCTCTGACAATGTGGTGTCCAGACCATTGGCAGCAGATCCTTTGGGTTCCGTAGCTCGCAGGGTGAGACCTCTGTGTATCAGGCTTGTGGATGCTATATCAGCTCTGTAGAGTTTGGAGGTCAAAGCAACACCTTTTTGTTCTCCTTGAGTTGTTCCTGAGCAGTTTTTGCAGTGTGTTTGCACACATTGTTCTGTTCTGGGGGAGTCCTTGTGCCAGTGTTTAAGTTGCATATGTCAAAGTTTCATCCACATTGATGCCAGGACCGAAAGTCTCCCAGCAGAACACTTCATTGGAACCAGACATTTACTTTTATTCACTTCCCCCTGTCAGTTGTTTTACTGTTGTGACTGATCGGTGTATGTCACAGCCAACTACTGAGCTGGCAGACCTGGGAGGGCAAAAGCCCCCCTGTAACTGGATCCTAGACTTTCTCACAGACAGAACACAGGTGGTGAGGATGACAAAGAAAGTCTCTGCTGAACTCATAGTAAACACATGAACTCAGGCCCAAACTATTCTCTCTGTATACTCACGGCTGTGCCTCCTGCGTGAGGATATTACTATCCTGCGTGGATAGTAATATCCTCAACAAGCACGGCTACACCATGACGACCCTTGGCCACATCGGGGGGGATGAGTCATACAGGGACCTGGTTCACAAGTTCCTCATCTATGAGGAGAACAATGAACTTATTTTTTATTTTTCTTAAGTTGTTTTTTGGCCTTTATTCAGTAGGAAAATCAAGAGAGAGAGACAGGAAAGTGGGGGAAAAGAATGGGGGAAGGACCATGAGCAGGACTCGAACCCATGACCTCTGCATGTAATGTACTTGTGCAAATGGCAATAAAAATGATTTTCTTTTCTATTCATGAAAACCACAAGCAGGAAAAAGGCCAATTCTTCATTCTGCATGTCTGTACACATACTGACGCAGACTTTGAATGCAGAGAGCTCTAGTGTACGTGGTTCTGTTCACTCAACAACAGGAACATGTTGGTCTGCTGCAGATTTTGAAGATTTTCTTGGCATGACCAACCCCAAGGTAGCCCCAGAACTAGCTGGTGGGGTTTACATATCTCATGTGGCCTGGGAACATCCCCTAGGTTGCTTGGAATGCCCTGCTAAGCCTGCTGCCACCGCAACCTAACCCTGGATAAGCAGAATTTCCAGTTACCATGAAGTTCAAGGACAACCAACTGCTGTCTGCAAGGCCTGACAATACTGGAAAAGCATTGCGCAACCTTCAGCATGGTCCCTTCAGGGTTTGAAGCTTAACTCAGATCCAAAAATGAAGAAATTGAAGTCTTATCTGCCCATCCATCTCCACTATTTTCACATTTCCTGTCAGCAAAACACACCCTTCTCACTCTTGTATTGTAGGACCATTCAACAAGCTTTCCAACTGTGCTGCAATGCGATTGACTGATGTTCTAGGTTGACTGTTGATGCATTTTATGTGAGAAGAAGACAAATTACAATTGTACAGTGAGTCATTTCTCAGTAGATTGGCTGGCACAGGTCAGTGCTTGAGGTGCTGATACTCCCATTTATTCACGTGGGAAAGTATTTAGGCCAGTATCAGGGAATTATCAAGTGTCTCATTTTTAAATTAGTTCCTTGTAAAGCCTGATACTGACCTCCCTCTGGTTCCAAGCAAAGAGCAAAAGCAATTTGCAAAGAGACCCTCCCACTAGACCTGTGAGTCATGCAAACCCCCACACAGTCAGGAATCCCAAAGAAACTTCTTTATACCTATTCCAGAAATAGCAACAATATACTTAGTGTGATGGGTGAAAAGAAGACGTGCATTGTCTGCTATTTTTGGTGAAATTTCAAAGTTTTTCAGGAAACCTTGGACTTCCTGATTTTAAATATAAAATGACTTGATAGGCCTACATGAAGTAGAAAGGTTGATAATATTTCAAAACTCGAGGTTCAGGCTTAACCTTCTGACCCCCAAATCCACATATGGGTTTAAAAGGCATGTTGTCTTAAAACAAACAAACAAACAAAAAAAAACACAATTTATCAGCCAGAAACTCTAAAACCAGGAAAAATTGTGTATTTTTGTTTTTCAACTTTCTGACAGTCCCTGAACTGATCATGTGCGATGTGCCATTCAATCCAAAAAAAAAAAAAGTTGATATAGCTTTGTTCAACATGCCTTATGTCAAATTTTGCCAAAAATAAAGCATTTGCATGAAGCAGATTCTTCATGGCTTTGTGGCAACCAGCAATCACGTGACAAAAATTGTGATTATTTGGCTGAACTGCGGGCCGTGTTTACACAGAACAGATAACGAGACAAGAATGGAAAGGAATTCTAAATCTAAGCAGTAAAGTATCTATAGTCTGTAGAGCCACATTTTTTTTCCCAGTTTTGAGAACACTGGGAAAAATGTTGCACGTGTTGATTTGAAATAATCAAATAAATTTAACTTAAGTTTTTTGTTGCTTTTTTAGGATTTATGGCATTATACCTGTCATACTTCACAAAAGATATTTTGAGGTCTCCCTGCTTCTAGCCATGGTTGTGCTGTTTCAATAGAAACATATTGCGGTGAAAAATGAGCCCACAGAAATAACTTGAGGTTCAGAGGGTTAACTACACACAAATCTAAGACATTGGTGGGATAAACACAAAATTTTGTCTTTGCTTTGATTTTCTCTTTCTCACCTCATGTTCTGAAAATCATTGTTTTATCTTGTGTTTCCACAGACCTGAATACAACAGCGGACCAGCAGTATGATGCTTTACTGACGAGCAATGTGGTGCCGATGTACTCTGAGTTTAAGAGTAAGTTCATGCAAAAACTAATTCACAGTCTCATTGGAGGTTGTTCAGAGGAATTATGTTGAATCTAACTAACTTCCCTCTCTCCTGTTTCTATTTTCTGCTTCCTTTCCTGCATTTTTATTTTTCCTCTCATTTCTCAGAAATCTGGGACTACTTCCACAACACTTTGCTGACAAAATACGCATCTACTTACAACGGCATCAATGTCGTGATGGGCCCTGTTTTTGATTACAACTATGACGGCCAGTATGACACTCCACAGCAGATCCAGCAGTAAGTTTCATTTACTATGTCAAAAAAAAACAGTGTCATGGATTTAAAAAGATATACATTTTCCCTTTTTTGCTGTTTTTTTTTTTTAATTCATGAAAATATTAACAATGAATTGTAATTACATGTCGAGCATAGAATAATAACCTGTAACTGTAAGTATATTTCTTAAAAACAGTTGAAAATTTTGAAATTTAACTATTTCATATTATGGGTAATTTCATTGTTTCAAAGTAAGTATTCATTACAAAGCCCCCCAAAACACACAAGCTCATGTCAAATGAAGGAAAGTACTGCATTTCTAAAAGGTGATTATTTTCTTTTCTTTTTTCCTGAAACCTAAACCATTACAACTACTCAGATACTTTGCAGACTGGGAAGTTTGCAAAAACAAGGCTTCAGAGGAAACGCTGAAATTAATAGAACACTAGGGCTGAACGATTTTTGAAAAAAATCTAATTGCGATTTTTTTCCTCAATATTGCGATTTGATATGCGATTATTTTTTCTAGGCTCTCTCCATGTGTATTTTTTGACAAAAACAATAAATAAATCCATATGTTGCTTAATAGACTATATCAGATTTATTTCAAAGCCAGATTACAACAATAAATAAAACAAATCTGTGGCTTTTTTTCCTTAAACTTGACTAACTTTTCAACTTTGATGAAAATGTATGTAAACATGTTGACTGCTCTTCTTAAACACTATCTTTGCCGAACAGGACAGTCTATAAAAAAATAAATAAACATACACATATAAATTAAAGTAAAAATATAAAGTTTACTGATCCAGTCAGAAACATCACACACACTAAAGTGCAAGAACAATTATATCCGCTTTAGCCAATTTGACATTTTTAGGTAAATAAAACCAGTGAACATAAAACAAACTTCAAGAATGTCCTTTGTAAACCTTAAGGAAGCAAAATTACTTTGCAAACAACAGCAGCGGGCTATATACTAAAGTGCAAAATGAGTATGACAGCAAGGAGCAATGTTTTCCCAAGTGAGGCTGAGCTGGCTGCTGCCTCACTTAGATTGCACAATCCCTCACTGCGCTGGCTGCCATGCAGTGACAGCCTACGCGTGGCAGACAGCGCAGTGAGGGATTGCGCAATTCAAGGTGAGGCTCAATTCGCCGCTGCCTCACCGGCTTCTCTTCCAAGCATTTGAATGGGAAATTGCGAAAATTCAGCGATTTAGAATTTTAAAATCATCAAAACTGACGAGGCTAAATGAAAAATTAAATATTTTATAGTACAAATCACTGGATAAATATAACCATTTAAATTATTTTATCAATATATATTTTTTTCTTTCACCTGCCTCCCCCGACCGCACATCACTGCACGTGAAGTAGCAACCAGAGCGCGGCAAGTTCTGCAGAATACTTGGCTCAGCTTAACGTCCTCTGTCTTAAAGCCAAAATATTTCCACACAGATGATGTGCTGCCACGCTTTGACACCAAAATTAGCTGCTGTGTCAGCTTCTTTTGAGGCTATGGCCATTGTGCAACAGGTTAAAGCTTCGTGTTGACTTCACTCCCTCTTTGTATCGGTCTGCTCTGCCTCACCCGGCGTAAACAAAAGCAGGTCACGCCGCCAGATCATGTGACCAGTGAAATCGCGGCCCTTGCGGTTACAAAATCTCGTTCTATCAAATCGCGATATTATCGCAAATGCAATTAATCGTTCAGCCCTATACTAGGTTCTATAACACACCATTTTGCTTTCTGTCTTCTGACTAATGGTGACCCAGACCTGACGAAAAGAGAGGCCGAAATGTTGTGAAAGCTGTGCTCTTTGGTTCTTCTTTTCACCTCCAGCACAAAAAGAGAGCAATTGAAGACAAGCTGACGAATGACAAGTAGGAGTCATGTTGCTTCCAGAGCAAACCAGAAAATAATAGAGACAGAACACTAATTTAACGGTGCAAATGTGATTGACTGCACAAGCAGAGTCTGCAGTCTGGCAGCGTGGTGGAGGTAGAAACTGTATTTATGGTAGAGCTAAGTGAAGACATGGGTCAGATGGCTGCCTGACTCCTGCACAGCTATCTCCACCCCTGCAATGAAAGGGACTGAATTATTCATCTCCATTTTTAGTTTTGACTCAGAGAACAGTGAGCAGACCTGCTCCACTAATTATAGTCTGGGATGTCTGAGCAGTTCATTTTTAGGTGAGTTCTGTGAAGAGATAAGATTAAAAAAATATTGAATCAAATCCAATCTGAGTCATTTAATATTTAATATCCGCCAATACCCAGAAGCGTTTTCCTAAGTAAGACACACTTCAAGTGCAGTTGATAGTATGTGGTTGTGCAAACAAGTTGGATCTCTTACTGTTTAGTACTGTCGAAACCAGAGGAGTTGGGCAGGTCAGTGTTGGCAAGCAGAGAGCTGGAGGGGAGTTTAGGTAGTGAAGGAGCACTGTCTGATGCTGATGATACACAATATATTAAACTGGAGTACACTGGAACAATTTTCCTTTCTTTCAGTAGCACATTTTATGACTATTATGGTACGTGTTGGCATGACAACGGATGTAAACAAAGAATTAAGTGTAAGTTTATGCTAATACCAACTAGTTGAAGGTTCCTGTTATGCTGACATCCTGCCCCTAGTTTTGTGTTAAGTTTCTATTGACAGCAACTGTCCTTACCTTAAATTGCAAGGTTGTTTTTGTAGGTTTTTCTTAAATCAACAATACCGCATTATTAGTTAATGTGATAGAAAAACAAAATGAATGGATTTAAGTGATCACAGATGAGCGTTAAAAAGTGGAGAATTATTAAAACACAGCCTATTTCTATTTTGTGTGATAAGCATTAATGTTGTGAGAGCCATAATGGAGAAATAAGACACTCCTCTTATCATTCTTCATCTTCGCCTAGTCTATTATTTCATCATCTTTCATCTACATCTGGTTACTTTGCTCAAGAAAGACAAATTTTAAAGTCCAATAACTTGAGCAGCTACAGCTAAAATAATAAAATCCCTAAAGCATAAAGCCACAAGGGAAAACAATATCCATCCATCCATTATCTATATACCACTTAATTCTAGGTTTGGGTCCTACTTGGGTCATGGGGGGCTGGAGCCTATCTGACTCCAGCTGACTCAGGGTGAAGGCAGGGGACACCCTGGACAGGTCGCCACTCTATCACAGGGCTACACTTAGAGACAGACAACCAAGCACACTCACACCTACGGACAATTTAGAATCACCAATTAACTGGGTGTCCTAACCGGCACACGAACCGGGGATCTTCTAGCTCCGAGACAACGGTGCTAACCACTGAGCCACCGTGCATCCCAGGGAAAACACCGTGACATTGCCTGATTGTAACATAAGCCTCTTGTTTTGGAAAAATAAAGCCTGCAGTGAAGGGAATGGCTGCAAGTTGATGAATTTTACTTGTAACCTCATTTCACAACTCTTGGATAGTTGCAATACCAAATGTGAACAAGGGTTTGTCTGGCTCTGCAAGGCCTGAAACCAAGAAGGTGGATGCAGCACTTTTCAAAATGAATGTGTGTTTTTGTGTACCTCCAGATTTGTGCCCGGTACAAACATCTCTATCCCGACACATTACTTTGTGGTGTTGACGAGCTGCCGGGACTCAACCAAGCCAGTTAGCGCTTGCGTCGGAGAGCTGCAGACCGTGTCCTTCCTGCTTCCCCATCGAGCCGACAACTCGGAGAGCTGCAAAGTAAGACATTTCGTGTTCACCTTTTAAAGTTGACGTTTCACTGATTCAGCTCAATTCAGCATTGTTCTTCACTGTTCCAAACATCCTTTACCAGCCGCAGCATGCTGGGCCAGACAAATACATGGAAACACTTTGTATGGCTCAGTGTGAAGCCGTCAAAATAACAAAGAAGGAAAGAAAGAACTGCTGCCAAAGCAGGTTACAAACAGAGGGTCCATTCTTGGTTACAGGTTTAATGACATAAGACCAGACTGTTTCCAGGAGACTCTCTTTAAATTAGTCAGTCACGACCTGTTTCTATGAACAAGACTTCTCCATCCACCCATTCTTTTCAGCTTGTCTGCGATCAGGCATGGCATTCAGACGTCCCCCTCCCGACCAGTGTTTTCCGATTCCTCCTGTGGAGTTTCTAAGCCAAATGAGATTTGCAATCCTGACAAGTTTTGGGTCTGTTCTAAGTTCTCCGGCCAGTTGACCAGAAAACCTGCAAAGGAAGGCATCCAGGAGCCATCCTAATCGGATGCCTGAACCACCTCAGTTGGCTCCTTTCGACCTGAAGGAGCAGCAACTATAATCCAAGCTCTGTCCAGATGTCTCCTGTCCATAAGGCTGAGCCCAGCCACCCTACAGCGATCTCATTCTTTCAGTCACTACAAGCACTGACCATAGGTGAGGGCTGAAACATAGGTCAGCTGGTAACTGGTGAGTTTTTCCTTTCAATTCAGAAATGAGATTGCAGACAAAAGTGGCTGAAATTAGTTTCATGTTAGGTGGCCTGGTTTAGCCTTGGGAGTGCAGACATCTGGAGAGAACAGGCAGGAGAGTCACTGAAGGATCCAGTTTAGGTGGTTTGGACATCCGATTAGGATACCTCCTGTTGCCTTCCTGTAGAGGTTTTACGGGCAGCTCAAAAAGCGGCACAGGTAGATCCAGGGATTACACATCTCATCTGGCCTGGGAACATCTCTGGATTTTCTAGAGGAACTGAAGAACATTGGTGGGTAGAGGGACGTCTGGAATACCTTGTTTAACTTGCCACAGCAACCTGATGCTGGACAGGTAGAAGAAGATGGATGGATGTAGAGATGGATGGATGGGTGGATGGTTTCATGCTGGTTTCAAGCTAAAAAAGTTTTTACATTTTTTTGTCACAGAACACAGAAGCTGAATCTCAGTGGGTTGAAGATCACATGTGGTTTCACCAGTCGCGAGTCAGAGATGTTGAGTGGATCACAGGCCTGGATTTTTACCAGGGCAGCAATCGACCAATCCCAGAGCTGCTGAAGGTGAAGACCCGGCCTACAGCTGCCATTCACAGAAGTCAATAAAACATTTCCCCAACCAACAAAAAATGTAATCATTTTCTAAATCAGTGTTTTTTTGTATTGAAGGAGCTGATTAATGTAAATGTAGTTTGTGAGAAAATACTAAATCTAATATATATTTTTAGATTGTTTTGGTCTGTATATTGCACCAAGAATTATAACGGTGTCCACTCAGTGTTGACAAGTGTTGCTATTTAATGTATTTTTCATGATTTTGATGAGTGCAAATTAAATTCCCTTCACTCCCATTGTATGGGATGAAAAGCAGTTTTAGAGGTTGATATCTCTTTGACGACATCAAAGTAAAACTATCTGCCTGACTAGATAACAATAATGGTAAGTGACATTATAGGTTTTAATCCCTTTCGTAAACCGGCTGTTGAAGGTTCCCTAATGTTGAAGTGGTAAAAGGAAAAACAATAGACCTTTTTTTTCATGACAAGTCAACCCGAATCATGCCAGCAAAATGCCCTCCAAAGAGCCAAAGGTCATGCCAATGTAGTGGTCAAGCTTTGATGTTTTCCTATAATTTGTTTCTCATCTGTAGCTGCATAGATTGTTGCAGTAGGCATCAATAGCAAAATATATTTTTGGGTAATTGAATTCTTCTGGCAGGTTCCCTCTAGTTTCGCTTGTGGAGAAGCCTCTTTTCAAAGTGCCAGTGAAAAAGTTGTTTCAGCACGTGTTGATATCCATGTCATTGTTTGAGGCACTCTGCCAGTCGCATTATGGATTCTACTCAGCCTTTCCATTACTGTTGTTGATGTTACCAGTGATACTAAACAAAACATTTGGGCTGGCAGTCTGTCAGGAGGTAAAACAAAGGCTGAATTACTTGCATGAATTATGACTTGTCAAGTGGAACACGGGCCTCTCTTATGTGGAACAGAGTCATCATAAATAACACAATAACACATTTCCTGCTCTGACATGTGAAAAGGTCTAATCTGACAAGGCTCTATTTCGTTATAATTTTAATAATGGCAGCACACCGCAATCAGATTTGATTCATTGAGTTCTTTAGTGGAGTTTGCGGACCTTTTCAGTGGTTGTTGTTGTTAGTTTCTTTGAATGTGATAATCTTGAATGTGATAATCTGTAAGCACGATTCAAGACTATAAACCAAGAGAAAATATATATTTAAACCCTGTTTCAGAGTGTTTTTTGCTCCTGTCACATTTTTACTGACTTTTTTTTTCACTCTATCATAAAGTCCTATACCTATACTACTCACAATAAGTTAGGGATATTGTGAAAGACTCAGTGGA